CCACTTATATAGACTCAATTAAGCCCAAGAAAATTAATAGGCCTAGATAGATATAGAATGGTTTGGCCAAATATCTTTCATAGTGGTCTTGCTACTTTTGCTCGTGTGTATGTGTTAACGTTTAAAAACGATACTGGTTCAACATTAAAGTGAATAAAAAAGGCTGTCAGAATCTGGTCATCAAGGCTTGACCCAAGAAAAAGCTTTTACCGAGAATACGTAAGTCCGTAAGCAAGTATGCTTGAGATAATGGAATGTAAGTAAGTCAGGTTATGAAACCACCTTTTCTAACCCCTCACTCTAGGGTAATTATGGCTTAACAACCCAAGGAAAGGCATGACAAAGACTGATTAATCTCGTACGTCCGGTTTGGTTGATGAATTTAACCTAACATGTTGGATGAGTGTGAGTGAAGTTAGAACCATCAAGTTGAGACGGCTTTTTTTGGTTTGCGGCTCGACACCCTGTCTCTCTTTCAATCTAGCAATCAGGCACAAGTAGTTCCTACTCAACTTTAAACCACCGTTCCTCACATTCAACGTATTCTCAAAACTATTAATTTAAATAGCCTTTCCTATTTTTCTTTTAACCGCAGACGTACCATAATCAGCTTGAAACCATTCTATCTCATCTTCAATTTCTGCCATGTGTTTGCTCACTTCTGACCGCTGCACCCAGCTTCCTTTACAAGCATTTTGGTGTTCCCCCAAGCTTTGTCGAATGGGCCTTCATGCCTCATCAATATAAGGCCGGCCACAGGAGCACACAATCGCGTAGCAGCCGGATCTCGATAATGGGTCATATTTCTCTTTAAAAGGTGGCATAATATAAGAGTGAGGCTTTCTTTAAACATTGTTTTTATCCCCCAATTTTTAACTAATTCGCCTATCTTCTTAGAAAGAAGGCATTACGAAAAAAATAGGACATGAGAAAAGGTCTCAGCTTGTCTATTTTCGACTAAATGGTCTCCGTTTGAAAATGCATTCCTTAGTAAAGAAATAAAATTCTTAATTAGGCTTAAAAGATAATTATTTTCCAGGAATAAATCTGTCAGCTGTTCCAACTCTTTAGTTGCATAGTTGCTACCTGCTACTCCCATATTCGTAATAACCATTGATTTCAAAGTTCCCACCTTCATTTTGTAACTATGGTTGGAAATCAGATTAAAATGAGCAAAAATATGTTGGGCTGCTATAAATATCCCTTCCTAAGTAACCTTCTTCTCTAATAATCAGAACATCCGAAAAAGGGTAAGGGCCTATTCTCTTATATTTTCATTGTGAACCTAATGTTCCTTTCACGTTAATTAAATGAAAGTAGGAAACTATCCAAACTTTCTTTGCCATGGTGCTAAATGACAAAGCAGTCATCCATATATTTAACCAACAATTTAGGGCTTAGTATTGCCTGTTCAAAATAGTGCTCTTCGAGTTTGCCGATATAGTTGTTCGCCAAGATGGGAGCTACCCGGGGAAATGTTGAGAAGTCTATCTATAGATGTTTTGCCCAAACTTATTCATTGTGTGATGTCTGGATGCATCTCCAGAGGTTGTACTAGAGCCTAAGTAGCTCTTTGAACAGAAATGTTTGTGTACATAGACACAACATCAAAACTTATTAGCCTATCTTCTTCTGAGACTATCTGTTAATCACTTAATTTTACAAATTCATAAAAACTTTAAACAGAATATAGCCAAAAATCAGCAGTTCCTCTTAGTTGTATGCTTAAAAAACATGATATTTTATGCATTACGCTTTCTTTATTATTTACAATTAATTTAAAAAGGACACTCCTCTTGTGAACCTTAGGAAGACCGTAAGCCGTGGGGGCCCTTGTCTTTCTCTGGACTAAATTATTCATTTTTCACTTCTCCATTTTACCTTTACTTATGGATACCTTAAGAGCATCCTTTGGCCTAGTCTTAAGTATTTCCGTTAAAGCTCTCATTAAAGTTAGATACGTGTTAATATCATTTAAATGAACTAGCATTTTTTCTATATAGTATGGTCTATCCATGATTACGGTTGGTCCACCTTTGTCGGCTTTCATACTGATCAGATTATTGTTAAATAAATATCTAGAAACCCTACTATAAACACAAGCTTCCTTTGGTGCTATTATATGGTCGAAATGAGGGATCGCCTCCAGCTCAATACTATTATTTAACTCCTCGGGCAATCTGTCAGATAAACTAACTAAGTCGCAGAGAGTAACTTGGTTTTGATAAATCTCCTGAGAAAACCTTGCTGGACAGACTTTCATTTCACATGAAAGTGCATGAAGAAGAGATTCGAAGGTCGATCTAACCAGAAGAGGACGGCTTAATCCCGTTGTACTGCAGCCATTTGGCTTTAATACGACGCTCAGGTTGACGCAAACCACGAGACCTCTCTCGTTTCGAATGAACACTAGCTGAGCTTTTGTTCATCATATGATGGACATTTTCAGAGCTGGAACTCATTCTTGTAAATGTCTCACGTTAACACTAGTTGACTCAGGCTGCAATACACGGGCTTAATTCCTGTTGAGGGTGCAAATGAGGCCCAGACAAAGCCGAAATTGCCCTCTATTTTCGATAAGAATATCGTTTTTGAGACAAAGCTAAGTAAAAATTAAACAACATCGTGACTCCTGCTAAAATGATGGTAGGAAAATTCAATTATTGGATAAATCCTAGGATAAATACATTTAAGAGATGATAATGTCCGATTTTAGTGCAAGCTTACGAGTAGAACAAAAGATGATAATAAAAATGTGTTTACCACAGCGCAATTTATCAAAATGTAGTAGCAACCGGCAAATCTGTAGGCAGAAGAGACAGTTGCTGGAGGTGGTTTGGTAAGGATGAAGGAAGATGACAAGAGAAAGACAATAAAATGTAATTTTCAGTATAAACTTTTGGTCGTGGTTATCGGGAATCTAAGTAGTGTAGAAGTGCATCATTTGCGATGCATGTTGTAGGATGCTTATGAGCTTAACGATCTTGATAACAAATAAGGCTATGTCCTTGAAAGCAGGCATTTATTCCTTTAAATAATGTGTAAAAGCTTGCTAAAATAGGATAAGAATGTGATCAAATTAGGTCGCTTGAGATTATTAGGGAAGACAGATGACTTTTTTCGTCAATTAAATGAGTAGACCTACCGATGCCATTGAATTTGACATGGTCATTGGTCAAAAAAACTTATTTCATTGAGAGTGGATCCTAGTTTCGACGTAATCTAGGTCTCAATAGCACTCCATCGGGCGTCCATACTGGGTTGTAAGTACCGCGGCAACGTTCTCCCCTCCATTGATTGGTCACGAGTGCCAGTGAGTTACATGAAAGATGAGGGATTCAAGACAAACCAAGCCTCTGCCAGCTCACATGCTATAGTGGGACTGTCGAGTAAGCAATTGACTTTAATTATTTTCGAAGCGAATCGTTTTTGAGACTACCAGCAATTCTGCTGATGCGGCTCAAGTGAGGTTAAAACTGATAAAAATGATAATAAATTGCGTTGTGACTGCTCGGTATCGTGATACCTACCTCTGAAAGAATAATAGGTTCTTTTTCTTTGCATTCGGAGCCAAGGTCTTGGTAGCTCGCCGACCTCATACTTGTATCCAGGGTGGAGAAAGTTAAGGAACTGGATGCTGGAATGATTGGTATCCAAGGCACAGGAGAAAGCAATGAGGACATGAGGTTGGAACGGTTAAGAGAGTGGTCAGAGAGGGTCGCGGTCTTAAGGCCACTCAGAGAATTCCCACGACCAATGCAGTCAGGCATGTTGGTCACAGTGAGGGTGGACGAGGCCGCAGAGACTCCAGGAGCCTCAGGAGTGACATACCCTGAAGACCATGGCGACAGGCGGCCAACCAGCTGGTACTCGTTGGCGCCCTGTTGGATGCCTTTATCGTCGGTATCCACTTTGACCAGCCAAAGCGATGAGGCAGACGAGAAAGTCGCTTGGTTGCTGGCAGACGGAGGCTGGATGCTATAGTGGCATGTCGGAAGAAGAGGACTCGACGAGGAGGAAGAGGTGGAGGGGAGCAAGATAGCCGGAGGGCTTGTGGACCGGCAAGTCAGCTGAGGTACTATCAAAGTTGCGTCGCCGGGAGTACAGGGAATATGGGGTTGGCTGGAAGAGCGGTTGGCTATTGAGGGTGGGGAGGAAGGAGGCGACTCAACGGTCGTGGGACTGGCTTGGGTGGCGCAGATCAGGGGCAGTGGGGAGTAGTGGCATTCGCCGTGGTTCGAAGGGCTGTTCGCCTTACGCATGCTTCCGGAGATGCCGGCGGTCTGGCTGGAAGAACTATGGAGGCGAGAGGTATCACTGGTGCTAGACACGGAGCGAGATGGAGTAAACAAATTGGGCGACGAGGAGAAAGCCGAAAGGTTGGTACGTCCCAAGTGGGGAGCAATGCGCTGCAGACCACGCAGGAGCATGTCTTGGCGTTGGTTGTACGATAATCGGGAGGACTTAATGTTTTCAGCTGAAGAGACAGAAAAGAGAGTAAGAGTCGCGCTGTGGCAACAGTTGCGGCAAAACTTGCACTTGGCGCGTTAACCAATAGTTGGAAAAATATTTTCCCCATTAAAGACTCTAATCCACAGAAGGAGGAATTTGCTAACAATGAAAGGAATATGAGTGGCCGAAATGACGAGTGGTTCATCAGACAACGAGGACTGTCATGGCTTGAGTCCTGCTGGGGGTGCTGATGAGACCAGCACAGGAGAGGTCGAAACTGCAGTCCCCTCCTGTCTAGCATAAAATACCTTTATAGAAACCAAAGATATGTGAAATCCAATGGAAACGTAAGGTTTCCTCATAGCATTGTGGAAAAATTCAAATGCCAGTTATTCATCACCTTAAACGAAATAGGCTTAACATATCCCATATTTATTAGTTATAATCTACTGATATTATCGAAATATACCAAGTATGAATATGAGTAATGTAAACGAGTGCCTTATCGATAATCCCACTATATATGTGATATAGAAGAGTTATTATGACATCGTTTTTGCAATTAGCCAGAGACATCATAGGGAAAAGTTTCTTACTCACACCCTTATGTATCTACGTTTATTTTTGTCATCTGCCTATCATGATCGGTATACTTCATTGAACTACTTTCTTTAGCTATCCGTTTCAAAGAGACCCCTGAGTTAGCTTGAATATGTCACCTTCCCAGAATTCTTACTCGAATCATAATTATACTTCTGAGTATTCGGATTTTCAATCTGTAATTATGCCGATACAGGAAATTTAGGATTATTAAGGCCTGGCATTTCTTTCTGAACAACCTGTTCTTAATGCTCTCCTGAGGGCTAATAATTATAAACAATCATTTTAACATTTTCATCAGAAGCATTAGAAAAATTGAGAACTCATCCTATGTTTTTTCCACATGATCAGAGTAATCCAGAACATGGTGATACAAGGATCTGAAGAAAAACTGGGTTTTGAATAATTCCTTAATGAAATATAGTGGCATGACTCTCCATTTCGAAGAGAAAGTTGGTTGGAAGGAATTCATGATGTGGTCTCACCGGAAACTGAAGGAGGATTATTGCGTAAGGAAAGCGGTTGAATTGTGCGAAGTCCTAGGGTCACTGTTCTGTGACCCAGATGAAACTGTGCTAAGCTTTCGTGAGACATAATCAGAGCAAGAATCCATACTCTACGAAATAGAACAAAAATAAAATAAATCCTTTCCCTATTTCGTAAAGTATGAATAACTGCTCTGATTATATCTATCACAGTACAGACGAAAGCTTAGCACAGTTTTATCGGTGTCGCAGGACGGTGAGCCAAAGCGTTCTTTGCACAATTCAACGCAACAATCCTCCTTCGGTTTCCGATGAGACCTCATTACGAATTCCTTCTAACCAACTTTTCATTCGAAATGGAGAGTCATACCACAATACAAGGATCGGTTTTTTCAAAACACAATGAACAGGTTGAAGGACTGGAATAAATTCTGGATTCATGAGGAAATTGAATCAAGGGCATCTGTTAAACAACAGGAAAAAAAAGAAGACCAAGGTGGTGTGGCCTTTTGTGTGGTCGCAGTCGCCATTCGTTGTATAGAGGTTGTTCGACCTTGTTTTCATAACTAGATCATATTGGCAGGAAGACATAGAGGAGCGCACCTAGCCCGGAGTCCATTGTATGCATAATCATTTTCAAAGTCGGACCGTGGACGTGGTACATTCAGAGACGTTTCGCCGTAGTCGGCATAGTCAGTGAGTCTTGCCATTCTTACCACCACACAACAACTCGTCAAAGAGACAAGTGAAGCCGATCCTTTGACTAAACGCGTGCTAAACAGTTGTGGTATCTCTCCTGCCCTGGGCTATTCACATTTCATATATTCTCCTATCACGCGTTCACTGTTACAATTCTTACTGTGTCTATTTCGATGTAGTGTGGTGTACTCCTTTGAGCGGTAGTCATGAAAACCCTTGACACTCCACACTGTCGTTCTCACCTCCTTCACTCTTGTGCTCGGAATGTTGATCAGAGTCTGTCATATTGTTAAGCAGTCCTCCTTCCCTAGGTCCAATCAGAGTCCGCCTCTTGCCCCGTATAATCCTTCTGCCAACGCCATGTTTCACGTATTTCACTCCACCTTTGCCATCCCACCTGTGCTACTCGAGACATTATTACCTCTCCAATGCGTCTGGATGACTAATTCTAGGCTAAAGCCTCTGCATAAGTCTCATGGTCAAGCCTTTGCTTGTGTACCAACCAACAAACGTTTTGGTTCAACATTAAACCTAATCAAAGCAAGCAGTATCACAACATTTGTTGGATGGCTCCCAAGAAACTATGGCATATGACGGTGGTTCCCAAATTTTTCCTAATCGCGGCGCCTTTTTTCAATTAAAATTTTTCCATGGCGCCATACTCTAGGTATGACTATTGGTAAGTAAGAGATAAAAATACACAAAACTCTTGCATCTTCATCATTTTTTTACTTTATTAACATTAAATTAGTATTTAATAATTAATA